GTTCCCAACCTTGAATATTAGTAATAGCAACCATATGGACACAGTGATGCCAACTATTTAAAAAATTTACTACAAAATATAAGCTTTTAACTATTATTCTGTAACGGTTAGAAATTTAGTTAATTATTTTTATATATAACAGTAAATACAATCACAATAATAGTAAATTTAACTACATTTCTATCATCCACCTTACTAATCGCATGGTAAACAAAAGTGGAGTGGTTCGAAATGTCCTTACTAGAGGGACGCGCGGTACAAGACTTTCTCGTAAGAAGAAAACCGCATAGGATGTTATAAATACGGATAAGTTTATACATTCGAGATTACTTATCTTTTCTTTGAAAGATGCTTTCTTGTACTATTCTTTATGAGTGCAGAGTGATGTAACCAATGAACATAGTGAACGCAATGTATATACAGGGTATACTAAAACCACCAGATATCTTTTTAATCACAGATTCTTTAGAAAATTTCAAGACAAAAATTCTAATACAAAAATGTCGAGGCTATCATAGTTTTTAAATAATAAGTGAGTATATTTTACCAATGATAGGCCTGAGATTTCGGGCGCTCCGGCACGGCGACATGACGAGTGATAAAAGTGTTCCTATGACCCGAGTAGAAAATGAAACACGGCCCTGAAAGGAGCGCGATAGATTTTGCTCTAACGGCTGATCAGATCTTGTTAAGGCAGCCTGATGGCGCCCTGATAAAAAATGTGACGTTGTGTTCTATGTGGCCCTGAAAGCCGTTTCCTGATCAGGACCTAGTACTGCGAACTCTTCTCGTGCCTTGTTACTCCTATAGGGCCCTGTACGGGAATTCTGTAACTTGCTATCGAGGTTTTTCGATAACGTTAATTAGGAACAACCAATGAAAATCTGCGTCTTTTTCGAAAATCATCCTCGCCATTTTGATTTATGACAACCGTATCATAAGTTGAATGACCAATATTGTGTGTATAAGAACTATAATACATTGTTAGGTCAACCATAACTTACGTAGTTGGAAGAATTAGAAAAATGTGGTTGGCTCCTAAAATGACTATAAATTATAGTGAAATTGTGGTAACTGCAACTATTTTTTTTCTGTCAGTGTAGTTGAACGAATTGTTACATTTTTATAAGGAGTGATAAGCGCGAATGTGTTATGACGTTGCGTTGCGTACGTGTAGGTGTTCATCGCCGCTTTGTATGAGAACAACGACGGCGAGCAGGCGATCAGGGATTACATCTCGTCGGTTCACGGGCCGGGTAGCGATTGTCCGCATCCCCGGGTACTCCCCAATCTCGTGTCCATCTGCGTCGCGGCCATATTCCACAGGCAAGTTTCCGCCCAAGTTATAATGGAACTGGATTCCCGTATCGCGGGAAATCACAGACGAGACTCTCATCAACGGTGTCGATTGCGATTTCGCAGGTTCGAGGTGTCGAGTCGCGTATCATCGAACGAGGACAAACCGTCGTCGTTGCCGCCGTTGCAGTGTTACCTGCTCGTCTTGAATATCGCGTAAGTGTTGCATTCACTGACGAACGAGAGCCGCTTCCTCTCGCTGCGTCCTCTCTGAGCTCGAGATCCTCGGTTCTAAACGCGTCTCACGTGTCGAGGGAAACGACGTTGCAGATCGGAGTACACAGATTGGCGTCCGGGCCTCGGGGCACTGCTGCAGCCCGTCCCGTTCCCTGAAGAGGCTTTGGCTGTGAAGGAGGTGCAGGAGTCCGTGCTGATGGGCGTGATGCAACGACTGGCGAAAGACCCGAGGTGCACGGTGCATCGCGTCCTCCTGCCCGTCAGAGAACCGCGTCCAGGCTGGATCCACATCGCCGCGCCGTCCAGCCCGGCTTGTCCAGATCGTGGAGAACTGTTCGGCGAGATGGTGAGAGTCTGTTGACATTTTTTTTTGCGCACAAAGACTAGGTACGTTACTTTTCTTTCGCATACCGTGACTTTGGTAGAGTTCGTAGTGGATTTTGATCAAGCGCTTTAAAACGCAGCTCTCTTTGCTTCTGAGAATCTTACCAATCAATTACGAACGACGATGACATTTACGAGGATCTTTTCACGCTTGCAGAAAGGTCCCTTTGATGTTAAATCTTGAGCGAGACCTCCCGCGAAGATGTTCGGGGAAAAATTTGCAACGCTTGTTATATCTTCTTTTCTTTAATCTGCTGCGTTTCGTGTATTCGGATAGCGCGTGGCGAGAGATAAACATATCTGACGGCGAAATAAAGGGAATACGCGCGAATGAATACGCAATTATCGCGCTTATCGGCGCGACGGGGCATCGAATTTATCCGCACGTGAAACAATTGTGGCGTATTCGGTAGCCGTAATCTCGCGAGCCGAGCGTTTCGAATTGTGCCTATGGCTCCCCGGCCTCCGCACGCGATAACGCACGCTGGAATAAGATCTGTTTTGTTCAGAAACAATTCACCTCCCCCCTCCAACCCCCCGGGAGGAGAAGAAAGGTCGTGGCAGCGTCGATTATTTGACGCGCGATTCGATCGGAGGTCCACCTGAATATTCATGAATCGCTCTTTTGAGATGCGCGGGCGCGTCGTCTTCAATGGACCCCGTATTGACAGCATCAATTCCGATCCTCTCGGAAATAACCGCGGAATCGAACCGCCACAATCGCGCGGAATTAACCAAGTCTATCGGGTTGATTGCGGGCTGGCGAAACGGAACGGTAGGAGGGCTGTCCAATGATCCTCTCGCAGCGAGTAAATTCCGTTCTTGATTACATCCGAGATCATAATTCCGTCGTCGATCCCGTCATCGAGGAATTTTAACGAGCGTAACCGGGAGAACGCCCGCGCGACACGTTGCCTATTTTTAAGTTACGTTAACGAGCGTGGGAATTTTTTTCCCGTCGTTTTCGGGACGCGCGGGAGATTCGATAGATTTATAGCAACGCGTTCTCGATAGCTCACGACCCTGCTGGCGTGCTGCTGTCGGCGGAAGAGGTTCATCGCGTCCCTGCTGAAGCAGGCGGGCGACGATTGCATCCTGCTGGCGGTGCGGGGCTGCGACGCCGCGCAGGAGGCGCTCTGCCTGATGCTCGAGTGGCGTTTACTGCCGAACGAGGAGGCGAGACTTCAGATAGTCAACGCGCTCGAGTCCACGGAGTCCGGGAAGGAGCACTACGCCGCTCTCTGCCAGAGGCAGAAGAACCTGCAGGAGCTGGTAAGCGAGTCCGCGAATCCTCCCGCCGCGGAAAAATTCGACGGCCCTTCGCGCTTGCTCTGTGCTCCGGGGGGAAGAAACAACAGTAACCCATTTCGGGTCCACAATTGGTAATCGAATTATTTGGATTGTTCGTAACTCTAATTTTTTACGAATTTTACCCCGCGCAACTAAAAATCGCAATTCGCTATTCTATCTATATCCAAGATTTTTAACCCTTAAACTACACCCGGGGTCCAGGAGACCCCAACAAAAGTTTGCGTTTAAATATCTTCTATATAAAATGTAAAGTTGGGACTTATGGCGCCATTTGTTGTTAGTTAAAGTCTTCCTTTTTAAGACTACACATTAGTTGTGGGTCCCAAGGTGCTAGTTGACTAGTGACAGCCGTTCAAAGTAGACGCTTCAAAACGCTGGGGTCAATCTGACCCCCTGTGTAGTGTACGAATATTGGGAGGAATTTTTTTCATAATTTTTTGTACAATTTTACTGCATTTCAACTAGAAAAATGTAAGTATTAATTTAAATACCATGCGATTTTTAAAATTAGTTATAACATAAATTATAATACTTTTAGATGGCGTATAATTTGAGAACTCGGAGCATACGCCAGATGCTGTATTGAAATAATGTATTCAACCTTTATTTTTATCATATATTTTGTAAAAAAAGTATTTTACACGCAAAAGACGAATAATATAATTAATTTTTATTGCAATGACCAGTAAAAATGTGCCTTCAATTTTTCCGAATTATCACACCTTCGGTTGTCAAAGTAAATACCTTTTTTGGAATGTGTAGTATTGCAATTATTTTTATCTTAAAGAACATTGTTTCAAGAGTATGCAGTTAAATTTTTAGGTTAAAATATTAAAAAATGAAAACGTTATTGAATTTTAAATAAAAAACGGCATTTTCTGAGCTTCTTTCTACATTTTAATTTTTTTAAATTATTGCAATCTTTATTTATGGCTCGGACCAAGTTTATCCTACTTGTTAATGTTAATATAACATTTCTAATTTTTTACAACATCAAAAAATGAATAGTATCATTGCAGCAATTGTTTAAACTAGCGGGGGTCAGATTGACACCATGTGTAGCGTATGTCTCAAATAGATAGTGTCTAGTTTAAGGGAGTAATATTAACCAATTCTCTCAATTAGTTCTGTCGATATTCAGTAACGCGAAGATAATTTTCACTTAAGAGGCACTAACTGGAATGTTAAGTTGCTTAACTACAAAAAAACGGTCAAAATTTTTCCCAGAGTAGAGTTACGAACAATCCGAATAATTCTATTACTAACTGTGGGCCCCAAAATGGGTTGCTAACTGTTTTCTTCCCAGAGTGCTGTTGCTTTCTTTCTTTTTTTTGTACTAACGATAAATTCCGTCGGTATCCAACCCTATTCTATACACGTACGACGTATGAATACGTTCGCTCTCGCCAGCAACAAAAGGGTGGACCCCGGAAACTGACGCTACCGGTACGGGCGACCGACGCCGACGTCGCCCTTTTGCTGGGCGGTCGTGCCCTCGGTAATCTCGAATGCCTCAGCCTCGCCTTCACTTCCGTCACGTCCGCGTGTGCGGAACAGCTGATAAAGCTACCGGCGCTGAGATACCTGAATCTGTGGGCTACGCAATTTGGCGACACCGGCCTACAGATGATCAGCGAGCACCTACAGAAGCTGCAAGTGCTAAACCTCTGCGAGACGCCCGTGTCCGACAAAGGCATCTCCACGTTGGCCTGTGAGTATCCTAGTACCAAAAGCTTGAGATTCGGTGTAAAAACGATTGTAACTTATAGCGAATTCGGTTGGTTGCACTAGTGCCGCACTGAGTGCGCACTAGGCCTTGTTTCCAGTCAATTTTTATATTTAAAGATCATCTTAAATACCTCTTGCAATATTTCTTACCCAGACAAATGGTCTGTACAACGTTTACACGGATCACTTTTTGATTAAATACTCTTTGAACGTGTATTGAAGACAAAGTTAAATATAAGAACTGGCTATAAACAGGCCTTAGTGTGCACTCAGTGCGCACTAGTGCAAGCAACCGAATTCGCTATTATTCGTTTACTCGGTAAAATTAATCTTAGGCCGGTATTTGTAGTCGATTTTTATTTCAAAATCATCTTAAGTGCACTGATAGAAAAAAAATGGTAAGAATAACTATGATCTCAGTATATTTTATAGTGAATTTTGGCTCCAAACATATTTTTATAGTTTTATTAAACATGCAAAATATAGCAGAGCGAATACAAATTTATAGTCATTATCACCATGACATAAATTAGCACAACCATATGAAATAGTTATAGTAAACTAAAAGTAGATTTTTGTGTAATTAACCGTACTATAAAATAAAGTTACCCGAAACACAGTGAAAAGTACGATAAAACATACGAAATAGTATTAAACTGTACAACAGTATGCAATAGTAATAAATCGTATTTATATTGGAAGTAATATTCCCCGCTTTTTATTACATATACATTGCGTTCACTATGTTCGTTGTTTACATCACTTTGCACTCGTAAAGAATGGTACCAGAAAGCCTCTTTCAAAGAAAAGATATGCAATCTTATACGAATGTATAAACTTATCCGTATTTATAACACCCTAAGCTGTTTTCTTCTTATTACGAGAAAGTCTTGTACCGCGCATCCCTCTTGCGAGGACATTCCGAACCACTTCACTTTTATTTACCATGCGATTAGTAAGGTGAATGATATAAATGTAGTTAAATTTACTATTATTGTGATTGTGTCTATATGGTTGCTATTACTAATATTATGGTATAGTAATAATTACTGTAAAAATAATATTCCTGACTATAATTATTTTACTACCCAAGTAGAACAAATTAATCACAAAAACGTCAATATGACATTAAAATGATGAAGTTTAAGTCATAAAATGAACGACATCAAGATTTACTTTGCAATGACTGATTTATGACATGCTGTTTTATGATATTCGTGACGTGTATAATAATTTTATATATAATAATATATTACAGATTACATGATCAGTCTTATATTATGTTTATCTTATATTACTTCAATTTATTTTTAATGTATAATATTTAATTAACTTTGCTTTGGAGAACAAGATTTGCTTTGGAAAACAAGATCATTTTTACAACATTTTGATGTCTTAATGATGTCACAAATAGGTGCTCTCGGTGGGCTATTTTGACATCACCATGATGCATAAAAAATAATAAAAAATTATGTCATCTTGATGTTTTCATGACTAATACGTTCTACTTGGGTATGCAATTATAGTTTCAAATACTACATTTTTTTTTATCAGTGTGTTATCTTAAGAGGCTAATACGGCTCTGTGATTGGTTAAAAACACATTAAGAGCATAGTTAAGTTAATCTTAAATATAAGAACGGACTATGAATACCGGCCTTAAAGTATGAAGCGGATGAAGAAGCTAGATTTAGATGATTTAATTATTTTGTAATAACAAGAAGCGCGCAGAGATTTGAAAATTATGAATGCAAGCAATACTGCATGCGAGATAAAAGATGGAATTATTTCAACGTTAAATTTCAGTATCAATCAAATAAATTTTTTGATTCTCGAGTTTTGGCTCATTTCGCGCGAGACCTAAACACCTCAGCCTGTCGCTTGAAAAAACTGCTACCGCTTTGTTGCAGCATTAACCAGCCTAAGGAAATTGAATCTGAATAGCACGAAGCTGTCGGCTCAGACATTCGAGTCGCTGAAGAAGCGACTGCCGGCCCTGCAGGAATTCGACGTTCGATACACGGAGGCCTGGTGACCCGAGGTCACGTCCAGCACCTCGCCCAACGGCATTCTTCGTGACGCGATAACGAAGAAGCAACGCTGAGGTGTTTGGTCGTTCGGAGGGAAATTCAAGAGACTTGACGGAGTGACGTTCGTATTCTTGATGTCCAACCAATCCGATCGAATTATCGAGCATTGGGCGCGATGCGTTCGTTCGTTTTCTTTCGATCCGGCTAAGCGTACAGACTACGGCAAACGGAATGTTCCGACGCTCGCGACTCACTTTTGAGCCTTCTCGTTTGCACCGAACATTCGCCTTCGAAAGCGCTCGCGCATATTTTGTGCTCGCTGCTAAATCTAACCGAATGTTACGCGAATAGAAATGGCAGTTCGGCTGTTCGTTCGCTTAGTCTGTGCGCACCCTAATACGCGATCAGCATAACGACCGCGGAAAATTATGTCAGTGAGACTTTCCCAGCGAGGGAGGGAAACAAAGTCTTCTGCTAAGTACCGTGCGGGATAAGCGAAGAGCCTTTTATCGTATTTTTACGTATCTCCGACGTATCTCGCTTCTTCCGGTTTAATCGCGCGACGGCTTGTTCTTTCCAGAGGGCGATAAATATGCGCGATAGGATTGACGGTATCACGTATTTAGTAGACAACGCAGATATCAATATATTCGTGTTGTTCACTAAATGTATCTTCCATTTTAAACTGATATTATTTACGCGAGACGTTAGATTCTTACGAGAACTCGTGCCAGGCGGCTCGACTCCCACGACGCGTGTTAATTTAGAAACGTCCCTTCCGCGTCGTCGTCGAGTGGAGAGCGCACTTTTCAGGAACATTCCAGCGTCGCGAACTCGGACGTCAGTTTTCAGGAAAGACGCGCATTCGTTTGAATAAATAAATTATATTGGCGACGAGCCGCCTCTGTCGGGCATTTGCATAGAATTCGTTTGCGAGATACCGCGTCGCGGCACGTGCAACGATTGCGTCGAAGAGCGATCGCCAGAGCCAAGGAACGCTAGACGTCCCATAAGTTGGCGGGACAAAGAAAAAATCTGTTCCTTTGTAAGTTTGAAAAAAAGGTGCAACATAATTTTTTTTAAACTTACGGAGCAACAAATAAAAATATTACTTAGAATTGATTCCGCTCATTTTGTTCCGCCAACTTGTAAGACGTAACGCTAGTCGTTTGCGACAAGTTGCCCACCTGGGGGCTGGCGAGGGGAACATTTGCATAGAACATTTGTGGCAATAACGCGCTTGCCTCGACGGTTCTGATCGAAAACGACCGTTGATCGCGTTTGACGATCGTTTACATTTTTACGCAACTCCGAAGGCTGGTTCCGAGCGTCAAAGTTTAACAATAGCTTCAGTTCCTTCCTCCATCTATTTCGAGTTTCCGGGAAAAGGCGAGTTGTTTCCGCTCGTTTCTACGCCGTTAGAAGCGCGATACATCTTCCTCCTCTCCCTTGCATCTTTTTTTTATACACGCGCGCGTTCACTTTTGAAAGATGCTATTACTTTTTCGACGGAGATTACAAGTATCGACGTCCGATTTTTGTTCGTTAAGCACGCGAGCGTTTAGTTTATCATTCGCGCCGACGAGGTTGACAGTTGTTTCGATCTGTCGCATCGCGGGAAGACTCTCTGCTAACGGGAGGCTCCCTGCCAACAGGAGTAAAAGGAAATCAAATAGTTATTTTCGACGGATAATTTCGCGCAACGAGAGTCTTTCTCTGCCTCTAAATCTCGCGATATGCGGACAAGAGAGATCGTCGGACGCTTGGACCGAATCATCGTCCAACGTTGATTACAAGAGTCCTGGCCGATGGGATAATCGGCGAGACCAGCGTGACGACGGTAACGATCGTGACGATCCTCCGGCGATCGCCGAAACAAAGACTGTTCCCACTCGTGTGTCACTGCGTTGCTGGACCGCAGCCGCCAATCGATCCCTCTGCGCGAAGTGTCCTTGCCGTCGGGGGACACTACCGACGCTCACCCCTTTCCGTTCGAGGCGTGCCCAACTGCCTTAATCAGCGAGTTCTGAGCGACCACTGCCACTGCCGCATCGCGTTGACGAGCGCGATCTTTAACTCTAGCGAAAATGAAGGAGCGAAGCTTTGAAAAACGGTCCCGTGGTTCTGTCGGGAGTCCGTCGGGAGGCCCCCGGCGTTTCGCGTTCAGACGGAGCTTCGAACGAGCCGCGAACGACGCGGCTCGCGCACACGTGCATTTCGTTCTCTAGTGTAAATAGATAGATAGGTAGGTTATTAAGGATCGTCTCCCTCTCCCGTTTCTCCTTCGATTAATTAGATAGATTTTAATTATTTATTCTCTACCTAGAATCTTCTCGTATTTATATATATATATACATAATATATATATATATATATATATATATATATATATATATAACGATAATAATATTACATGTATGTCACACGATCCAACTCGTACTAGCGTGAACACGCGTTTAGGGGGATAGTCGATACCTCGAGTTTAGAGCGCCGGTAAGAAAGAGGAGAAAGAAAGGGAGAGAGGGGGAGAGAGAGAGAGAAAGAGAGCGAGAGAGGGTACCTCTCGAAGAGTGGCAGGATTCGGCCGTCATTCGGGAATCGCGGCGATGACGATCGACGGTTTCGCAAAAGGAAATAGTCTCGTCCCGATTATTGTAAATGCCGCAAGGGAACAAGCATTGTAAGAAGACTGTTTACGTCAATTTCAATAAGGATCATTAACTTAGGGAGCCACGAATTAATTACTCCAGTTAATTCCTCATCGTCACGCGCGTCTGCGTGCGAAACAAATAAAATTCGAATTTAATACCTCACAGCCACTTCCGTTCCGTCACGCCTTCCGTTGTCTCTCACGTCAGCGAGATCGGGCACTTGGCTTTTCCGCGACTCGCCGTAAGCTAAAAGAGAGGTTTCTCTTTCAGTTTTGCCCTTCAAAATCGTTTCGTCCTCGCATGTAATTCTAGCTGTTGTCGTTTTCGTCGGCGAGAATCTGTAAAACATACTCTGTTAAACGTGTTACGAGAATGATCGGATGATTCAGCGTTAAATTATTAATAGTCGTATCTTTCTTTGACATTTTCGTACGAATAAACTGTTTAATCGAAGAACATTGTTGCCTGCGTACTTGGTTTGCCGTTTACTCGGACAACACCGCGCCCTGACAGTCACTCCCATTAACGTTTACCAATTATCTTTCCAGGGATGAAGTATGAAGATCATTAACGTTCGATGAACATACTATTTGTTATATTTCGTTGCTGCACACGTTGGACAAGTGAAGCGATTAAATGAATAACGGTGCAATTTAAGTATTGACGATTATTACTTTATTTTGCTCTATTAAATACGAAAGTAATTTTTGTTGCACCTTAGAGAGATACAAATAAATGCTGGATCGTTAAAATCATTATGATTCCATACATCTCAGACTATAAGTTAACATACATATTAATCGTATTGTTGTGACTTTGTATTATTCTCTACATCTGCACAAGGTAAGTACGTTTGGTTTTATAGTAATATCGAAATTGAGATAATACAATCTTTTTCTAAATACAATAAAAATTAATGGGTTAAGTAGGAGAAACATATTTGTCATTTTGTGAAATATTAAATATCTTTGTTATACAAGACTTCTAGATATATATATATATATAAAATATACAAAATTTATCATAAAATTTCAAATTTATGCAAATTAAGTTTATTTAAATGCGTCAGAGATACGCTATTTTGACGTTTTATTATAGTAGATTATAATTCGCTTGTGGCTCCTCGATTATTTTAAAATTAAAATCACGGAGATTTAGATTTGATCCCCGCGCTCCTCGTTTACTCGTTGTAACAACAAAATAAATCATCGAGAGCCTTTTAGAAGTCGTAATTCATTCTGCGCTGTATTGTTTGCTGTTGGTAGTTGCTAGCAATTTCCAGCTCAACTTCTCTCTTCAGATTATCAGGTAATTGATCCCATACAGTTTGAGGCACGGTATCTGAAAAATAACGTTAATCCCTTGTCTGTAAACGTCACAATTGTAAACTTAATATATTTTGAGCTTAAAACATCCTACGAATTTCCATGGAAATTATTTCTCTGTATAAATTATTCAATTAAATTTACTTCACATTTCTATTGGACTCGTTAGAATAATTAAATTATGACGTGGGAATAATTTAGGCCTCTGATCAAGGTCTGTGCTGCGTAAAAATTGCTTGTTTTACCTGTGCACTTGTACATTAAATCCGACCAGGTGATCATCTCCTGCGAGAAGCAATAGACACCTAGTTTACCGCCTTGCAGAGTCGAGTCGAACACGTTCCCGGAATCGGTTACCAGTTGCGTGCCCTGATACAACCAGAATCTGATGAGGCCGATCTTAGGCCTGTGCAATAGATGCCACCTGTATGACACTCTTGGCTGCCAGCCGAACTTCCTCGGGTCCTTCCACAAGACCCTCACCTGATTGGGAGTATCTTCCTTATGCCAGAGGCTATTTCGGAGCATCTCGCCCGGCCCAGTCTCGGACTGGATGAGCTTCAATATAATCCCGGGTTCAGCTTCGGCACGGAAAGGGGCCGGCTCCCAATAGACCTGTTCTCCCTTCTTCCAGTAAACAACGTAAAAATGTCGATTATCCTGGTAGGAAAAGACGAAGCCCACGAAATCGTCGTCGTCGTCGTGATTATCGATGTAGAAGGTTCCTTCGAAGTCGACGTTAGTCATCGTGTCCGGTCCTTTGTAGATAAAGAAGACGATAAAAAGATTCATAGAATTAGTTAATAATTAAGTAAGATTTCACCTTTTCTCACATCCGTTTAATCTATACGACAGTATCTTTATGATACCCATAAGATGAACTTACCTATCGCGATGCCGGGATCGCTGTTAAGAAGCTCTTGAATCTCAGCACCTTGATTGTGAATTTTCCACACGGGATCCTGCTGCGTGGTGCCAAATGGATCGAGAGCGACCGTAAAGTATTTACGGAAGTCCGTTGTCCATATTAGACTGTTATTAGGACAATTATCCTCGGTATTAATAACTGTGTCGTTGTCGTTGTCGTTCCAGCATGCATCGCCAATGCCTCTGTCTGTGTGCAAAAATATGATCTTCATGTCTTTCTCCGCAACTAACAATTAACAATAACTTTTCACAGAAGACATTATAAATATCCTGTTTAAAATCGGGAAAACGTTGACTATAGTGGCCTCGTGTTCAATACAGGGTGTTGTGTAATACCCGCCTCACCTCTTATTTGCGAATAGTCAAAATAGTTTACGAGTTATTAATTATTAAAAATCGCTGTCTTAGCCCGGCCTACCGCCCAATTATTATACGTAACCGTTGCCGTGTGTCATAAACAACTCCCAGCGCGCCTAGCAACGCCAATCGCGGGACGGCCGCATCTCGCCGCGCGCTATAATTGGGCGGTAGGCCGGGCTAAGACAGCGAATTTTAAGAATTAATAACTCGTTAACCATTGCGAAAATTGCAAAATGCTACGGGACTTTTCAACTCAGTCTAATCCGCTCTATCTGTAAATAAGTGGTGAGGCGGGTATTACATAACACCCTGTATATAAAACTGTTCATCCTCTTGTAGAAAAGATCACGTTACAGTCTAAACGCTCTTGAAAAGTTAAACCTTACGTGTGCTACGTTGATCCGGGTTATAGACGTAAGGGCAGTTATCGCTTCTGTTGGGTACGTTATCTCCATCGATGTCGTCGTCGCACTCGTCGCCGAGGCCGTCGTGGTCGCCGTCGTTCTGTCCGGGATTCGCCACGTCCGGACAATTATCCTTATCATCCTGGATGCCGTCCCTATCGCGATCCGCGTTGGTGTCGCAAACATCCCCGACACCGTCGCCGTCGACGTCTCCCTGGTCAGGATTGCTGATGGTAGGACAGTTGTCGCAGACGTCGCCGATGCCGTCCGCGTCGGTGTCGCGCTGATTCGGATTCTTTATATTGAGACAGTTGTCCTGAGTGTTGTATATACCTGAACGATATCTCTTTATCAGCGATATCCTTCGCGCGTCGGTAGCTTTAATTAATAATCATTCTCTAATGCGAAATAACGAAGCGATACGTAGAACGCGATTTTTTATTCGGCATTTCTCCTTATTTTTCGTTACGTTTCTTTTACTCGACATTTAATCTCGACTTCTCTTTCAGCGTTAAAGATTTATACCGTCATTATCCAAATCGTTATCGCACGCGTCGCCCGAGCCGTCGTCGTCCAAGTCTTCCTGACGCGGATTCCAATTCAACGGGCAATTGTCGCAGGCGTCGCCGATCTTGTCGCTGTCGCTGTCCATCTGGTCCGGATTATAAATGTGCAGACAGTTGTCGGACAGATTCAATATACCGTCGTTGTCCGCGTCGTCGTCGCAGGCGTCGCCAGTCCCATCCTCGTCGGCGTCTTCCTGGCCGCTGTTCGGCACAGTCGGACAATTGTCGGCGTGACAGCGACGGTCGTGGCAGCGAAGGCTCCTGTCGGGGATGCCGTCGCTGTCGCTGTCGGGACCGCAAGAATATCCGTTTCCGGCCCAACCGACGCGACACTGCAAAATATCAAATGGTTTAATGAATAAAATTAGACGAATCGATAATTATAATTAAATCCACGAAATAGGAATTAAGTTTTCATCCTTGTGAGTTCTCTTTCCTAGACTCTCTTTTTTTCTTTACTATGCTATTTCCTCCCCCTCTTAATTTCCATGGTATTATCTTCAATTTTATTAAATAGCAATTAGTTACATATTATTATAATTATGAAAGCGTAAAGAGAATTTTAAAGGTACGGATAGCCATTTTTTCTCTAATTTTTCTAGATACTGTTTTGAAATTATTCCACTATAAGCTTGTACAGTCACCGGCAATGAATCATTTCGCAAGAGGGCAAGTGGCTTTCTCCACTCTAGCCAATCGACGATTTATCAACGAGTGGTGGAACAACAATTCTCCTCTCGCGAAGCGATTTATTGCAGTTTTTTTTTCCGAGTAAAATTATCGCTGGACCATGGATCCAAGAATAATTCCGTATAAATCTCGAGTTCTCGGCATAATTTTCGTTGCAGATGCTTACCTTGCATACAAATTCGTTGTTGTACATGGAGATGCAATTGGCATTAACATCGCAAACCGTTATCATATCCGGACAGACGTCATGCTGAAGATGACAGCCTGTTGTTTGATTGCCGATGTAACCACTTCTACACGAACCGCATCTGTAGGATCCCTTTAAAACCGGAGAGCAACATCGTTGAAAGTTGAAGCACACGAGACGAGATAGATCCTGGGCGCGTTTCTATTTCTAAAATGAAAAGTCATAAATTCCTCACCTCCGTGTTAATACACTCGGAATAGGGATCGCATCCACCGTTGTTGGTTTCGCACTCGTTTATGTCCTGGCACATCTGTTTGCGCGTCCTGGCCATCTCGACGCCGACGCCTTCCGTTATTGGCCCCGTGTAGCCTGTCGGGCAGCGGTCGCATCTATACCCAGGGTGGAGATTGATGCACCGCACTCCAGGGTGACAGGGTCGCGCCAGCTCGCATTCGTTCGCGTCGAGGCAGACCGTGCCGTTGCCCACGTATCCCAATGGACATGAGCCGCATCTGCATCGCGCACGAGATTAACATGAAGATTACCATAAGACACATGATGAAAGCTACACGATATGCATACTCGAATGACGTTCTATGCCATTAGAAGACAAAAAATAAATAAAGAAACTCGTTTGAAGAATTAGAAGTAGATGTGAAATTTTTTTCCTATCGTTTCTTTATTACGTCTTGTATAAAAAATTAATTAATAATTTTTAAGAACGAGTCTTTTTCTCACTTCTGTGCTTTCACAGAATTCGAATTAATTTCAGTAAAAAAAATGATGTAGAATCTGAAGAAGATATAAAACGTTTACTTGTAGTACGGTGGACTGTGAGTGGGATAGCATTTAACTTCTGGATGACAGGGGTGGTGGTCGCAGGAATTTCTCGTTCTATCGCATCTTACGCCGTCGCCGACGTATCCGCTCGGACATCCGCCGCATCTGAAAACAGAAATATAAGGTCCTTGTGAAATATTTGCATTACTCGTCAACATCAAGGTGTCATCTTCAATTCGTCTTGTCTATACTTTCGTCTCATTCTATTATAACAAAGTTGAATGAACATTGTAGATTTAGTGACGATTTTCTTACCTGTAACCATTCTCGTCGTCGTCGTAACACCGCACCCCCTGGAAGCACGGCCGCTGAATGCAGGTGATGACATGGATCTTGGTGCAGACCCGCCCGTTTCCGGTGTAACCGCGACGACAGGGTCCGCACTGGGGTCCGCTCGGTGTGTTACGGCAATCGACGCCGGGGTAGCACGGGGAGTTATGGTCGCACGTGGACGGCGGCGGTGTTGGCACTACGGAATTACCGGGATCACGGCTCGAATGACGAGTGAATTTGCCAATTTTCGGGAGACTTTCGACAGCCGGATTCTCTCCCATACGCGCCGTCCGCAACGCCGAGCGGGCCCGGCGCGGGTCCAGAAAATTATGCGACGGCCCAGCGTGTCGTACGTGCACGTGCAAGTGATATAACATAATTACGCTTAAAGAGATTGTGACCTAAGATCGTCGCGGATTCTGCGCATTCTTTATCTCTTTAGAATAAGGAAAATGTAACAAGGGATAACGGTGACGCAATTGCAAAGCTGTTTATCCTAATTTTAGTTTAATATCTGCTTATAGAATATCGAGGTTTATCTGAAGAAATAGAGAGAGAGAGAGAGAGAGAGAGAGAGAGAGAGAGAGAGAGAGAGAG